GGAATAACCCCGTTATAGTACTAAGTGACAACAGGACGGCTATCGCCGCCCTGGATACCTATAAACTCTACATGCCCACGTGAGGCCCTCGTTAACAAAAAAAAATCCTGGAGATGCAGGGCCACGTAGGGAATAGGCATCGCGACTTAATCATGCGTACACGGGTGATGGCTGTTGAGTGTCTGGAGGCTGTGTAGATGGTTTTCATTCGCAGGTATAGTCTGCAAGTAGTTCCAAGTGACAACAGGGCGGCCGGAGCCGCCCTGGTAACTCTACATGCCCGCGTGGGAGTCTGTGTTAACAAAAAATTAAGCCCTCTATCCTCCCTTGTGAGTGGATCTACAGTTATGAGTTGCCACGTCAGCAGATCGTGCGCTGGCGAATATAACCTTGCGAGAAGACTGGTAAAATTAACAGGGTCTTTATATAGGCCGTTTGCCCTGTTCCTAACAGTCTAACATTCATGGCGCAAACCGGCACTCTACAATCGTTATCATGTTTGTGAACAGGACTCAGGAGCAGGCTTGATTTTCTGTTGGGTGTCCTGGCGAGGGGCTAGGGGCAACAGATGCCCTTCAGGGGCTTTGACAGGGCCCATGGCTCTGCGATGGAGTCCTCAAGTTGCTTGTATGCAAAGAGCGAGTACCGGATGTGCCAAAAGAAAAGGGAAAAAAGAAAAAGGAGTAGAGGAGAGGGGTGGGATTTGAACCCACGACTACTTTTCGTAGACTGCAATGTTAAACAACGTTATCAATGAGTGTGCAGCGCCTTGGACCATGCTCGGCCACCCTCTCGTGTAGACCCGTGCCTCAGGCCTCAACTTTTGGGTTTTGAGGCCAAAAGTTAGCCTAAAGAAGCGCGAAAAGAAAGAACAAAGAGCCCTGCGTCGCCCAAGCGTTCATGTGTTTTTTGGGATTGAGAGAGGAAGGGGGGGAGAAAGCGCGGTCGCATGACCTGAACAATCACTTTGCATAACTGAGTTTTTGCCACCAAAAATTTATCTGTGCACTGCCAGAACCTTAAATTTCTGCATGCAGAACCAGTCCCGCTCCATAGAGTCGAGTGTGAGGAGAGAGAGAGACGGAGGTAATTGTTTTCTACTTTTCAAGTGTTGTTGGCTGCTCCAGAGTACGTAGTTGATTATGTTTCAGTGATTTTTTTTAACACGAGTCGTGCCTGAGAGGATCTTTCTAAAAGACCAAACAATGAGAGAGGAGGTGAGTATCTAAATAGGATAGCTAAAATGGTAGAAAGAGAAATAGTCAGCAGCCAATGCGATCACAAAGTCATTACAACATGACATCCTCCTGTGCTCCGACAGTCGGCTTTGAACTGAGGTATGGACCCTGCCTTGAGACATTCATACAGGAAATTCGAGTTCCCAACTAGTGTGTTTACAAAATATGTTAGATGTGCAAGTCGAATGGGCCTCTGGATACGGATCGACCAAAGAACACGACAAACGATGCTTACAGCCGAGAGTAGAACCGCAAAAGAGGCCGTCTGATTTACATTGCCCATAGGCTTGTAGGGCAACAAGGTCTGTCATCAAGGCAACTATGCTCAATAAAATCAATGATCGCATGATTGTGGTAAAAAGGGTTGAAGGAGAGAGGGAGGAGACGAGGAAGGGGAGGAAGATGTGAAAAAAATAGGGCCAAAGTAAAGAGTATACAGCAGCCTGGCCGTGAGTATTTATTAATTTTTGTCGAGCAAAGAGTCGAATGGACCGTCGGTAAAGTTGCATTCTATTGTCCAAAAGTATTTTTTGGCTCAGCTGCCCCAGGTAAACAAGACCAATAAAAAGGCTTCATGGCATCTCTCCCCCTTCCCCCTTCCCCCTTCCCCCACCACCAGTAGGGCAGTAACCTGGGATCATAGGATTACAGCAGGTCTAGTCCCCTAACTTCAGCGCAGTAACGGTCAGGATACCCAAAGAGAAGGGAAAGAAAGAAAAGACGGATTCTATCTGTTCCAGTCATTCGAGTCCAGAAAGAAAGGAATGACTAGTTGCCATAGTTGACATAATCCGGGCTTTCGCAAGCTTCATACTCCATGATGAGGTCCTCGACAACATTTCGGGTTTCTGTGAATTCTTCATAGTCTCCCTGGAAAAGGGTCCCGTGTCTGTATTGCTCCAAGAATGCCTTTCTTGCCTTCAGTTTGTCGAATTGGTCACACGTTCTCCTGAACAGCTGTTTGTCAAAAGTTGGGTCAGATGTCATGGTAAAATTTATCAGGGGTCAACATAAATGAGAGAGTAATAATCCGGTATGCCATCAAGAAAATCCTTTCTCCTACTGCTTACCGAAGCAATGCTAGTATGGTTAGCAAGCATGAGTCCATTGACTCGGTTGGGGGTCTGTACATAGGGTGACTTTCTTGTCAGTGCAACCTGAATGCTTGCTGGACCCCATGGTATAAAGGATGCCAGTTGTCGTTCTCGAATCCGAAGAAGTGACTTGTGTACCTGTTGTTCAGGAATATAGAGATGTCTTAGCCCCCCTCCTAATTTAACGCTCGGTGCCCTATACGATGCTGAATCAGAGGGAGTAGCCTTACATCTGTGGGATCCACTTCGCCCTGAATGATATTCAGAATAGAAATGTAGCAATTCTGCTTGGACGGGTGGGTAGATACCATCCTGTTCTTTGGCTGGAGCAATCGTCTCATAACATCATGCACTGTTGTTTTCCGGATCGACTTTGTCTGGTCCATGCCTTCACTGGTAAATGGCGTGTAAGATGTTTGGAGGAAGTGACACTTTGGAGTGGGGATCAAAGATGCAATCATTGAAACAAGATCGTTGTTCATATATCCTGGGTACCGCAGAGTCGTCGTGCTTGCAGACATCACAGTCGATACCTAAAGGGCATGCGCAAAGTACCACATAAAGAAAAAAAATTAGAGTCGGGCATCGATAAGCTGCCATTTGAGAATGACCACCTGCTAAATCCTGTGGCGAAGACTCGTTTTCAACATACAAGCTGGTTTGTCTGTGCGAATGTGGGGTTTGGAATATGTAGGCGGTCGCAAGCGATTCTTGTGAGGGCAGCATTGTCAAGAACGACAACGCAGTCGGCGTTCTGGGTTAGTCTTTGCAAGGTCAACATGCTGTTGTATGGTTGGACGACGACATCAGATACTTTTTCGTTGTTAGGAAACACAGAGTACGTCTGAATGAGCTTTTTGGGGTATCGGTCGTTCAGTCGCTCAAGGAGGAATGAACCCAGACCGGATCCTGTGCCACCCGCAATCGAGTGCAGAAGCATGAATCCCTCTAGCGAATCACTTCCTTCTGCCTCGCGATCAAGTTTCTCGAGAATCTCTTCCGATTCACGTTCGCCTGCTGTATATCCGAGTGACCAAATGTTTCCTGCACCGCCTCCGTCCTTGGAAAGGAATATATTCTCGGGGTTGAAGAGGTTGGCGTATGGCGAAGACGAGATCGTATTGATAACCTATCGCGATGTAAGGGATGGTATTCTAAAAGGTGAGTGACTATACACTGTCGTGGTCTGATGGAGCATCCGTATTTTTGTTTGTAAAGACTCGGCCTATTCTTACTCTGGGTTCGAGGTCAAGAAGGATCGCGCGTGGAATATAGTGGTCATCATCCGCCTAAACATGCAAAAGGTGTAGCAATACGATATTAGTCGTCGTGATCCTGCGGACAAAATTTTGTTCAAAAGGGCATGGTGATGGCGAGGTCAAAAAGCCTTGCCTGATAGAAAAAGACGTCTTTGCGGTCTCCTATTTCCTGTGCATGGTGCTGCATTGTTCCGTCTGGACTGATGCCGTGCTCCAAACAGAGCTGACCCCAAAACTCCTGGCCGACTAGGAAGAGACGCAAAGATGGACGAGACCAAAATAAACAAAGAAATCGTTTAGCGCGAATTGATCCTGGCAAAGCCATGAGAATTGAAGGGGAAAGAGCTCAACATGACGCGGCCCTGTCCATACTCTGATTGCCGCATTGTCCTGCCTGGATGGTAATGATTTCTCGTGGCATCTCTGACGGTCTGTGGTACCCGTGTTTCCTGGTTTAATGGACAAAGGGAAAGAGGACAAAGAGAAAAAGAGAGAGAGAAAATCAAGCTGAAAAAACAGCATTGTCCACACGTGACAAGAGCACAGTAGTTCCGCGGCCATCCACCGCTTTGTGTCCTTTGCCCCTCTTGAACAAATCCGCATTGATTTGCCCATCCAGTTCTCCATGTCTTCAGATCCAAACTTGAAGGATCCGCGTTTGCGGCACAGGGCTACTACAGCTCAAACACAAAGAGTCACCAACAATAGCAACAGTAGCAGCAGCAGC